TTAATATAGCCTATCTTCCCCCTTGCAGTGATGTATAATTTGATCCCTCTTGACCACTCCAAGTAATTTAAACCATCAAGAGGGACAACAGCCATTGGAAAGGATAGGTCACCCCCACCCATTCCATTCAACATTGAGGAAACTCCAAATGTGGCTGAATCTTCACTGCCCATGATATCTGAATAAAAATTGAAACAGCAACCAAAAGAGTACAGCCATACAAGGCTATTTCAGAGATAGGTCCTTCTGACCACCGGTTTCACTGAGAGCAAAAAAAGAGCACTGCTGTTGCAGTACAAGAACAGGTCCTTCTGACCTACAGYTTCACTRAGAACAAAYAACAAACTGAACACTGCTGTTGCAGTACTGAAACAGGTCCTTCTGACCTACGGTTTCACTGAAACAAGTCTGCACACTGCTGTTGCAGTACAAGAACAGGTCTGAATGACCTGACAGTGCTGTTGCACACTGAAACAAGTCTGCACACTGTTGTTGCACACTGCTGTAGGCATGATAGCTAACCAGTCAAGTAGATCAATAGGGTAGCCGAACAGTCAATCAATAAGATTAATATTAAGCAGACAATCAATCGGCTAAACAGACCATCAACARTCCACAATACCAACAAAAAAAAAAGGTTTGAATACAGTTACTGACTTAAGGAATACAGTCACTTAATAGTAGGGCAGTCGAACAGACAATAGTAGGGTAGCCGAACAGACAAGGATGATAGTACCTCTTTTAGTTTCAGATGATAGTCCCCCTTATGGTAAACCAGAACTCCTTCTACGAATCCTCAAACAATAGGCAGCCGAACAAAAGATGAGCAATACTTCTTTTTGTTTCAGATGATAGCCTTTCTGAAGACAGAACACCCTCTACAAACTGCAAACAATAGTCTCTCTACAGTCGAGCAGACAGGAGGAGCAATTTATGGGCTGGAAGACGAAAAGACTCTGTAACTTCTGGGTCGAACTGATTTCACCAGATTAGGAGTTCAATTGGAGACGGCACTGGATGCAACAGTAGTTAGC